TACTTTTCTCTGATTGGTCAAATATTTCACATGATGTTAATTTATAACCAATAGATGCTTTGATTTGAACAGCATGTTTGTAAATATTGCCTGTTATGGGGTAGAAAATAAAATCTGGGCGTGTTTTAATATGGTATGTGTGTATGTAATTGTGTTGGAGATGGGATTTATTTCCTATACTCCAGATATATATCTCAAGATTCTCAACAAAAAAAATCCAAAGTAATCTGTTGTGTTTTGAAAAGACTATTAAATAGTTGGTCCACCGAGGAAAACTGTGGTTGAGAAAAGACTTATCTTTAGTGAATGTTCAGTAACCATCTTTGTTGTTGGAAATGGCCTCATTTGAAGTGGCCAACTGATCATGTCTGCTATTGTTGTTGGAGTTGATTCGTTTGACATCCCCCTAACACATTTCTTTCAGCACATGTTGGGGAGTGGGAGAAAAAGCTATATTGTGATGCCTTCTCTTGTGTTCAGCTTGGAAACAGCCACATATCTGGTCTTTGAAATATGTTTAAAACCTGGACAGAGAAAGCTCGTAACTTTTCGTTATTGCCAATCTGAACCTGGATTTATGCCTGTCACAATGAATGGTTTCACTCTGGAAGAGGATTTTTGCTATGAACATCTATTGGAACTAAACCTCTAGACTTCAAGTGGAACTCATATGATCCATTGCTAAAGTTAATTGGGAAGCTGCTACTCCAGAAAGTACCTGACATCACTTGTCATGCTTTCTTTACAAAAGTCAGATCAGACCAAAAATGGAGTATTGCTGCCATATCTGGTATGGAGTTGCCCAATCCTCACCTTCCAACCTCACAACAATGTTAACCTCTTCAATTCTAGGGTCAATGGTTATCTATTCTTAAAACCTGTCTTTATTACTTCCTCCTCTTATGGTCATACAACAACATCATTCAATAAAGTTCTACCTTGAGTGGCCTCTAGGCCTTACATTTGGGGAACAAAAAAAAAAAAAAAATAGACTGTTACTGCACAGTGCTTCAATGAGTAATTGGCTTGTTCGAATTTCTCCATTTAAAAAGAAAAGGCATTTAGTTGACAAGTAATTTTGTTACATGACAATGTTGTTCTTTGTATTGAAAATGTGACCCAGTGTGCCATCTTCTCCATCCATCACATAATCAGATGATTTTTTCACTTCAATATTCCAAGAAGTTGAATCTCTTGAAAAAAATTCTTCACATTCATCAAATCAAAACCAGGATTGTACTCTTCTGATCTGTAAATGATAGAATATTATTTATTTTCTCTAACCCACTTGCAAAACTCAAATATGATGACCCAACCAATAAAAAAAAAAAAAAAGTCCTTTCTGACAACCCAAACAGCTGTTTCTCAGGCCATTTGAGTGGTCCACTCTATTCTGAAACATAAGCCATTTGACTTTGTGTTAGGGTGGAGGTGTAGAGACACCTTGACAGTACATAAGACGGCCGTGACTATCGCTGTGCTGACAGAGGAAGGCATGATGCAAACGTTGATATGTGATCTTGAATAATGCTTATCTTAACACAGTGAACAGGGTTTCATTTCTGGAAATTCATTCATTTTATTGTTGCTTTATCATTATATTTATAATTTAATTCATCTGATTATCAATCTGTTAACTGTTATCTCCCTATACATTTTATCTGTCTCTCTATTTGGCCATAGTTAAACACACACAAAGATTGTGCCCCCCACTCGCAAGCATAGACACACACACACAAAAATAAAAAATATCAATAAGAACACAGGATTACTGTTCTTTCTTTCTTTTAATGATTAACCAGTGTATTTCTGGAGGATATATCACTTTAGTTTTCAGATGAGTAATCTGTAATTAAACATCACAATATCAAGAGACAGAGCATTGGTATCAACAGATGAAAAAAATAAATGTTTACCTTATCTTCCTGACTCTGAGTTTCTCAGATAGGGTATCTGCATGTCAGGATGGAGGTGATAATAATATATAATTTATTTATAGAAATCATATATGATTTCTTACAGAGATCATGTTAATAATTAATATGATAGCAACAAGAAAAATTTTCACATCAAAAATTAACTTGTTGCTATATATATAGATAGATATATATATATATATATATATATAGATATATATAGTGGCCTGACGATTGCATATAGCATGAAACAGACTGTCGCCTCGAAGTGTTGACTTCTATGTTCGCTTATATATGTATATATACATTTGTGTGTGTGGTACGGTGGAGTAATGGATAGCGACTTGGATTGAGGAAACTGAGTTCAAATTCCAGTCAAATCCATTACATTGACTTACATGCTAATATCCTTAGGAAAGGTATGAATCCTCTATCTTTCCCAGCTATGGGTAAATAGCAAGACAGACTGGGTTCTTATAGCCTTGGCTGGCAACTGGTCTAGGAGAAAGACAACTCTGAATTCAAAATCTGCAGTGGGTTGTTTGTGCACCAGGTCTCTAGTAAAATTCAGTTCTTCAAAAATTGTGGTTGGTTCTGCACAAAGTCTTCACCACTATAATCAAATCATATGTGCAGATGTCTGGCTGTCAGTTCCTAGGAATCGAGTTGCTTGACCCTCATATGTCTATAAACGATGAGAGTCCAGCAATATATATATATATATATATATATATATATATACATACTCACTCTTAGTGTGTATCTGGAGAGGAGACAAAAATGAATAAAAAGAGATGAGGAAAACTATACTTAGCTGACATGTTTTGTCCTCTGAGGGACTTTATCAAGTCATATATATATATATATATATATATATATATATATATATATATATATATATATATATATTTTCTGTATCTTCCTAACAAAACAATACCTAAAGTTTAAAATGCATTTTAAAAATGAAAAATATTTCCTGAAGCATTTGTTTTAGTTTTAACTCCATGCTAATGGATTAAATTTAAAATTTCTAATAAGCCTTACAAAAATGAATTTCAGAAAATTAAATAGTCTGCGGGTAACAGATGTGTATAAAAAAAAAATAAAATAAAAATTAGTCTTTAGATCTGCTTTGAAAAGGGACAATCTGCTTCTCATTAACTTGTAGCCTATATCCTGGTTGTGAAAGCTTTGCAATTGGTTGGTCAAACTATGGCTTTGTTTACCTGGCAATTTTTCTTTCTCTCTAATTTATTTATTTTATTATTCGTCTATTCCTAGAAGATCATGTATTGAAAGATACATGACTAACAAAGCAGATTTTTTTCCTCTGTGATTGACCAGTTGCCATCCAAGGCCATAGCTGGGGGAGAAGAAAATTCATACCTTTCTCAAGGGTATTAGCATGAAAGTGAATGTAATGGATTTGACTGGAATTCAAACTTGGCTCTCCATTCCTCCACTGTATTACATAGCTGTTCAACATATTCTTTGTTTCTGAGGATATCTTTTTAATACATTCATTAGTTTCCCTGTTTACATTTTCCCCACTATTCTTCTGTCTATTAAACTGTCTCCAACACAATTGAATCAAGGCACCAACATGAATGGTAAATGATTCTATCTGAGCCTGAAGTGTCTGGTGTTTTATGACCTTCTGAAAAGCCTCTAAATGCATTCACTCACTGACCAGAAGGAATAAAACATTGGGGAATGGCTGCCATTTGGCTAGAATTTAGAAAGGTCCGCATACAAGCTTGTCAGAGTAGTACCAGCCTTTTAAAGTAGTTTCAGTTCATTTGTTGGCAAATTGTGATCTGCATGTCATAATGTAGAGATGAGCAGAGGGTTGGTAGAATAGAATCAGTTTATACTGGTTGAAGAGAAGAGCTAATTGTGACTCCTTTGTGTCAAGAGTTCTCAAATATCACCTTCCAATTACAACCATACACTGTAAGTGACTCCCTGAATGAAAAAAAAAAAACACTGGAAACTGGATTTGTCTTTTCATTTCTTGCTGCAGCCATATTTTCACTTTTTATTTATTTTTTTTATTTTTATTTATATATTTTTTTTTTTTGTGACCATACAACAGTCCTTACCCATTTTTTGTGCATACCAGTGCAAATAGGAATAGAAACTGAACATGTGGTTATTTGTCTAGTCGGTGAAAAGCTGTCTGATGGGCCCATTGTATGTTTCATGCCACACTTGCTTTCATTTATTAGTATATTTTTCACAGAATAAAATAATTACAGATTTTGACAAGTTCCTTAATAATGATTCTGAATTACTAAAGCCACCTGTGAAAGTATCCAGGATTTTGAAGAAAAAAATATTCTAAATTTCTCTTTATTTTTTTTCTTCTTTTTTTTTTTGTTCTGGCTTTGAAAGTCCTTACCATGTGGGTGTGTGCACTAAACTTACTTTTGGCCTAAAATCACAAGTATGGAGGATTGAACTTGAAACTCTGGTGCTGATCTAATTATATCTACTCCAAATGAAACTGCATTCAAAGAAATGTCTCTATTTTTGCTTTTCTGCTTATCACTTTTTTTTTCTATTTTCTCTTTCTCTCTCACTCTTTTTTTTTTTTCTCTCACTCTTTTTTTTTTCTCTCACTCTTTTTTTCACTCTCTCACTCTTTTTTTCACTCTCTCACTCACTCACTCTTTTTTTCACTCTCTCACTCTTTTTTTCACTCTCTCACTCTTTTTTTCACTCTCTCACTCTTTTTTTCACTCTCTCACTCTTTTTTTCACTCTCTCACTCTTTTTTTTTTTTTTTTTTTTTTCACTCTCTCACTTTTTTTTCACTCTCTCCTCTTTTTTTCTCTCTCACTCTTTTTTCACTCGCTCACACACACACACACACACACACACACACACACACACCTTCCCCAGAATCATGGAGGGGGATATGTCATAACACTATGGCACCAACTCAATGCATGTTGCTGGGAGCAGATGTGGCATACTTGGGCAATCATGTCTCTTTTCTATTCATAATCACCTAAGAGTATTTGCATAAGTGAATGTAACAAAACTGACTAAAATTTAAGCTCATCCCATACCATTATCCATTGCACCATCCACACAGTTCCCAAGCAGTAACCCATTTAAGTACTGACCTGGCTCGATGTGGCTTAACTTCAGTGGTTAGACGAGAACTGGTGTTTCAACATGATATGGCTATAAGCATTTGATTCTTCTATCAGGGACCCCAAATCCCATGTATTTACCCACTATTTCTACATACGTACCCACATCTGTGCTAGAGCAAACCCAACTTCATCGACCCAGCAGCAAATATCCAAGTAAGTCACCTGTACCTGACCTGCTACCCTTCCCCCTAACCTAAACAGTTCAGTGACATTTCCCATCTCTTAGGTAAACAAGACAAAGTTGAAAGTCAGAAGACAGAATCTATCAACCGGCCACCCACCAACCATCAGTTTCTCTTCCCATCTCTGATTGTAGGGATGATGCTACTGTGGGTTGGGTCTGGGTCAGTTGGGATTATCAACAATAGAAGCACACCGGGGGTGGGGGTTTCAGAAGGTACAAAGGCAGATGTTGGCCTAGTAAAAACATCTTCCCACTTCTGCCCCCCCCAACCACATTCATCTGCGATGCCCTGTGTCCTACTGTTGTAAAATGCTGACATTTTTTTTTACGCCGCTCCTCCTTCCCTCATCAGCCCCCAAACCCCCCTGCACACCAACAAAAAAACAGTTGCACCCGATTGTTACATGTGTCTACAATGTGTGTTCTGACTCCACTTGGCAAACAATACCCTACCTCCTGATGCATACCCCACTCACTACCAGCCCCCACTCACATCTCTAGAACTTCAGCTTCCTACTTTCTCTTTCTCACCGGTCACTGTGTAGGTGGAAGAGGGTGACTAGACTTGTTACATTTTATTTTTTTTTTTTTTTTTTTTTTTTTTTTTAAAGTGTATGGTACTATAGATTTTGATTGGTAGGGAGGTGATGAAAAAGTGATGTTTTTGTTTATTTTCAAATTCACTTCATGGATGTAGATTTAAAATATGTCAGGGAAGCCATGGCGCTTTGATGAAAGTAGGGACTCGCATGGTATAAGGCCAGCATGGAATGAGATGTTACCCAATAAAAATACCTCCACATTTGGATGTTAGATTCAGGTATCATGATTTAAGTTTACTTTGAAAAGTAACATTTTGCAGACAATAGATTATTCAATAAATGATTTCTAGCATCTTTTAAACCCTAAAATGATCCACTTTTTAAATGGAAAGATCCTTGTTTAAATGTAAAAAATAGCTGTCAGCTGTAAATGCTTGAAGCAAGGAATGCCATTGACTGTAAAAGCTTTCTTGTCTTTGTTAGAAACAAAGAAAAGAGTATCGAACTGTTATGTAATATCAGTCCTCTTATATGGCAATCTTCTCAGAGAGGAAGAAGAGGCTTGAAGCAACAGAAATGTGGTGATCCAGAGGAATCCTCAGAATACCATGGACTGAACATGTGAGACATGACTAAGTTTTAAAGAAAACTGAAACAAAAAGGACATTAACATCAGGAAGAGGCAGTTGAAATTTCTAGGGCACATAGAGGAAAGAAGGCTTGGAAAATTTGATACTCACAGTACAGATTGAAGGCAAGAGAACAGAAAAAAACAATGCACCACCTATTTAGCGAGCTTGAGTAAATGGATGGCAGAACAAGATTTAGGAGAGATAACAAAAAGACGGTTTATTCAGAGCTACAAAGGAGTATTGTAGAGAGTCATAATCACTAAAGTTGTAAAGAGACTCATCACATAGAAGAATAATGTCCATTTTCAGTTTGTATTTTAGCATCTTTTAAAGATTGTTTTAAGAGAATTCTTTTAAACAGCTGAAGTCAGCAAATCTTTAAGATCAGTGTCAAATACCTGTATTTATCTTATCCAGTATTTAGCAAGATTCCAATCCAATGTATTATTCAACATGAGGTAATAGGTGGTTTTTTCATAGGCTGATACTCTGTTAATTTTTTACTATTATTGTTAAAAATCTCATCACCAAGAGTGACAAAGACACTTTGTCTTAGCTTATTGCTTCTCACCTCAGAAAGAAATAGTTCAGATCCTGATCTTAGGGTCCTTGAGATTCCAGGATTATTTTATTTCGTAATGGCTTCAACAGTTCAACCCAGGACCCAGAATAAATAATTGACTCACAATGCATGACACATCAGGTTTACCATTTCGCATGTACTTTTATATTATGACTCAGAGATCGTTTTTAGATGGCTACCCGTTAACTCATTGTACTCTTAAAAGGTTCTTTAGGGTCCAGCAGACATAATTTCATTTATTATATAAATACGAGTTGTGTGCATGTGTTCAGAATTTTTGGAAAGCTTTCAAAAAATTTGTAACAAACATATTTACTGAATGAGTGAGATTTTCATAGTATTTATTTGAACCTAAAGCAATTTGAATTTAAATGAATCCCCAGACAGGGTGGGGATGGTGTAAACGGACTTTAATTATCAGCTGAAATTTGTATTTTTTACCAAGCATTTTTTTTTTTTTTTTTTACTTTCACTGTTGAGAAGAAATTCTTATTTCACCACTCATTCAGGTTCATATCAATTTTAAAAAATAATTGTAAAAAAAAAAAAAATAATGACTTTCCTCTATAGTGCAATTTGAGTAGATAGGTTTGCCTATTGTCCGGTTCACACTCCTTTCTTGTTTGTTTGTTATGTAGAAAGACAACTGACCTTCTGTACAGTAATTGTTGAAGATGGACTAGACCATCTGCTGAGTATAACTTCTTATGAGAATGGTCATCACAAAGTGGGTCACAAGACGTAGCGTTTGAGTTGTACACATTGCATCTTTGAACTACGGTATTCTCTATTATTGTATTAATAATCCAAGTCCCTAATGTGATTAAATGTGATCTTCACTCACTCCTTGTTCCAGTATTTCCTTACAGTATTATTAATCAAAACTACAAGCATTATACAAACTTTATAACACTTTGTATAGATGTTCACTTCTGTTGAGAAAAGTTGAAATTAATATTAAACTGAAGCCCCAGGGAGGCATCCTTTCAGGCAATACCTCTCCTTCAGGAGGGAACTGTGGTCATTACCTTGCACGTGAGGCATCCCCAAAAAGGGAAGTGTCGATGGGGGTTTGAGTAATTTTTTTCCTGATATTGCCATTAAACCCACTTTAAACTGATGTTGTTTCATTTGGCTGCAATATGGGCACACTGAAAAATATCCACTCCCATGTCGTTTTGAAGAGGAGTAGAGATTTATCCCTTTCCTGTTTAGAATTAGACTTGCGGTTCCTTCTAAATTCTTCTCATTGCCTGTAACTCTCGGTAACCCCTTGCATCTTAGGGGCATTATCTCCTTGCTTAGGGTAAACTGATTATAAAAAAATAGCAGGTTCACCTAAAACTGCTTTAAAAGTCTGTGTTAATTCTAATTTAATTCCCAAACATCTGGGAATAAATTGCTTACCTATGGATAGAAAAGTAATTAAGGACACAAAAATATAAAGACAGATTTTGCCAGATTTATTTCATTTTTACAGAGGCTTATGGCCATATCATGTTGAAACATCAGTTTGTGTACGATCACCAAGGTTAAGAAACATTAAGACTGGTCAGAACTTAGATGGGTGACCGCATGGATGTGCAGGTATTGTAATAAATAACGACTCAGAATTGGAAATGTGAGAGCAATTCTGGTCAGATTCATTGTATTCACTTTTGCGCAAATACTCTTAGGAAAAGTATGAATCCACCTCCCCCAGTTGTGGGTTAATTAGTATTATTTGTAGCAGTAAAAACATTATCTCAAAAATATTCTCAAAGTATAAAATATTCTCTAGCTTTTAATTAACCTGCAAAAGTTAACCCATTAAAAAAAAAAATAATAATTCAATGAATCAACCTTTACAGTAAAGTTTTTGTAAAAGAACTTGGAGTTCTAACAAGATTTATTATTGATGCACACAGTCTTTAACAGCTTACAGCTGGGTTTTATATTTTCCATTTATCCCCTGTCTCTAGAAACTTTTTCAAATCATTGTAATATTATTTACATTCGGAATAATTTCCATCGCTTATCAGCAGCTGGCTGGCAAGAATTAGGTTTAAGTTCTCGGTTTAAGATTAAAACATTGGTTTGTGAATTTGGTGGCATCATAATTGTGAGTTCAATCCCTGGGCCAAGTAGACTCGATGGAAACCTGGTGAACAGTAACTGAGAAGTAAATAACAAGAGGAGATATCTCTAGACATGAACTGCGAGATGAGAAGAATTTACTCTTGTAGTTTAAACAAAGAGCTTAGTTTGAAATTCCGTACCACTTACACTGAGTATCAAAAGTCATCTGTTGTCTTATTTATCATCCTGAAAGTAATATTTTAATTAACTAGATTTTTTAATGTTTTAATTAACAAGATTTCTTATTTCCTGCTTTTTTTAATTAAATAGACATCTTTTTTTCTTTTTTTTTTTTTTTTTTAAATTCTTATTTCACCCTTAACCCCAGAGGGAGTTGTTGGGGCACTGACATGCTGAGCTGTCCATTCTCCTCCTCCTGTCGTAGTACCAGAGCCTGGGTCTCCGTGTGTGGTTTCTTGGTGTGTTCATCATGTGATGTGTGTTGGGCGTTTTAACATGGCAGAAACCATTCCTCTCCAGATTAAAATGTACTAATTAAATAAAATTTTTACTCATTTCATGAAAAACATGAATTATTTTCTCTGAATTTCCTACCCACGAGACAAAGTTAATTTTATTTCCAGTCACCTTTTTTTTTTCTTTTTTTTTTTTTTTTTTTTTTTTTTAACACTATTTACATTATTTGGACTATTGTTCTCATCTTTGTCACCATGTTTATCACAACATTTCGGCCATTGTACGCTCTAGCCTTCTTCAGGTGGCTGGAATGTCGAACTGAACCCTTTATTTTATTTTGCTCACTGGGGTAGACTGTTCTACTAGTTCCACATGCCATGTCTAATGGCTGTCAGTTATCTCCTGTTAATTCCCCTCTACAAGTTCTCCACTGCCTTAACCAGGTATTGAACTCACACTCTTTGGGTTCTGTCACTGGATCTAACTAATGCCTTTATCCACTGTGCCATGTGTCTTTTTTTTCTTTTTTTTTCTTTTTTTCCTATTCAGAGTGGC